CTTCTTCTTCTTCTTCTTCTTCTTCTTCTTCTTTTTTTGGCATTGTCTTTCATTGTGAATTTGCGCTTTGGAAATGACCAGGATCGTAGCAGCCCTCTTAAAGTGGACCTTTCCTGAAACTTAGGCGCCAGACCAGGGATAAGCGCAGGCCATTTTTAGGACCGTTTCAAGACAACCTTTTTTTGAACTTGGGCGCCAGGGTCTGGCACGAGTCGGCATTGGCAAGAGAAGCCTCCCAGCCGGACCAGCGCTATATAGTGATGGTCCACCCGGGAGGGAACAGGCAGTTCAGGAGGTAGTCTTCGGACATTCGGCAGCAACACTTTTGGGGGCGCTGCAGTAGTAGTAGAGTACGATAGGAGTAGTCTTCAGCGCTGGGCGCTTCTAGGACCTTAGAGTAGCGTGGAGAGGGAGGAGAGTGGCGGAGGCCAGGGAGACTTACCTGGGAGCTTTCCTGTGACGCCATCGCTCCAGCTTCGTCGTCTATGTACCTGCAACAAGGCGCCACCTTCCACAGGTTAGTACCTGACATTGAGAGAGAGAGAGAGAGAGTTCTTCTTCTTCCTCCTCCTCCAGTCCACCATCTCTCCCTCACCCTCTTGCTACCTGACTTCTCTCTATCTGACAGACTGCAAGGGAGAAAGAGAGAGAGAGAGATTTGTGACTTCGAGATTTGACGACATTTGGATTCCGACTCGACATTGGGACAGCAACATTTGATGGGGGGATTATTTAGGATCTATATCGAAGACATGGTGTTGACGACGTCCCCATCCTTCCCTTCTTCTTCGTCTGATCCCCCCGTCTTCATCTGTGTATGATCTGAGCCTGGCGCATTCCTCCTGTGCGTAGCGCCAGGCCCCTTCACACCTTGCGATGATGATGATGTATGTTTGGTCTGCATTGCGACATTGATTGGTCTGACAGTTGGTATTTTAGCCTTCCGCTGCGCTATCCTGCACTATGAGAGAGAGTTCGGTTCTTGTTCTGGTCTGCACCATTACGGTATGCAACACTGGAGCAGCGCTGCCGGGGAAGGAGCAAGGACACGGAGGAGGAGGAAGGCCAGGGCTAGGGAGGAGCGCCAGAGGTACTTACCTGGCTATGGTGGCAGCCATCTTCATCACCTTGGTGGGCGCTGCAGCAGGAAGGCCCCAGCTGGGGGTAGAGCCACACCAAGAAGCTTCGGGGCAGAGTTAGGCATGGCGGCCTGAGCTAGAGCAGCCATAGCTGCTTTGCGTTGTCCTTTGGACATCAGGGCCAGGCCCGAGTAGTCCACCATAGCCTCGGCCTATGAGTGTGAAGAGTGAGGGAGGCGGCCATGGCTATGGTGGACCTCAAGTGATACCTGCAGTAGAAGAGGGATTCGGACTTTGATTCTGGTTCAGCCATTCGGCATTGCATTATTATTTCTTGTGTGAATAAGAGAGGAGGAGATAAGGAGGAGAGTGATTGGCGAAGAAGAAGAGCTTTCTCATTTGTCTATGCTGGTGTACATCATCTTCTTATTCTTTCTTTCTTCTTCTTCTTCTCCTAACCCTCTCTCTCCTCTCAAGTTCATTCATTTCTTTTTGCAATTGGATGGGATTTGACTATCTGATGAATGTGTATCTCGAAATTGGCCAGGATCATAACAGTTGAACTAATTAGATTAGGCTCACTACGATTGGATCTTTGTGGGGTGGGCTAGGTAGTGCACCCATCCTAGGGTTTTGATGGGCAGTTAATCCCCTCGTGCGAGGGCAATCAATGCTGCCCAATGCCCATCGTTAACGATTGCTCATAAACTACAATGACTTGTCTTGCAATCAGACTTGCTTTCATTCACACTTTACATGCATGCAAACAGTAGCGCAACAAACTGGCGACATGCGCCCACTCAATACTCAGAGATATGGCAACCCAGATACGAGTTCACTTCCAACAGCTATGGCGACACAGCGCCCATACAACTCTTTGTTCGCATACCCTGGATCACCCTGGATATCCCACACGCGGTTCTCTGAACACTCACACACACACACTCGCACTGAACTCCAACTACAGCTATGGCGGCTATGGCCGTCTTTACCCTATCGTTATGGCTAAGCTTCGTCTCTCTGCCCACTTCGTCTTCGGGCTCACTGCAGACCTCCTTGCACAAGTCGCTGTGGCAGCGCTTCCGCATGGCTCACGCAGGAATGAATGAATGGCTGGGCGCTGCCTCTTGATTTATACTTCTGCAGCTCGTTGGTCTGGCCCTTTCCCATGCCCGAAATGCACACAGTCCCATGCGGTACTTGCTGGACTGAACCAGGACTGACTGGGGACTGGGACTGCTGACTCAGCACGGGTAGACTCCACCACTTGACCACTTGCCTCGCCACTTGCCCACTTGACTCAGTCTAAACGTGGGCAACTTCGAAAGGCCACTACTGGGACCTTCCGGAAGGCCGTAGACTTGGCCTTTCGTGACTGTAGCAGGTACGACTTTGACCCTTCTGGAGTTCAAACAAACAATTACAATGTTCAGGGACGCTGGACCCGCTTTCCAGCAGGTGCTGCTCCCCTCCAATAGATGGAGCCTCCCCGGGAGTGGTAGTGGTGCCGTCTTCTATCAGCACCCCTAGCATCAGCTCGGGCTGTTTTCTTATTAAAAAAAAAAAAAAAAAAACAGAAAGAAAAAAAAAGGACAGCAAATGAAAATAAATAAATGAATGCTGCCTCAAATTGAATCCTGAGGCCCTAAGGCTGGCCGTGGGCCGCCAGGGCGCATGCCTGAATGGCGTGCGGCCTGGGGCCCCCCAGCAACCGTCGGGCCCCCGAAACGGGACCTGTGTGCAGGCTCAGCA